AGTGGGGAATTGCTCACAGGGGAGCTGAAGAAGGTACTTATTGAAACAATGCAGCCCTTGATAGCAGCTCATCAAGAAAGAAGGAAGCAGGTCACAGATGAAGTTGTGAAGCAATTCATGACTCCACGGAAGCTAGCCTTTGAATTTTGAAGAAGTGTGTATGTAATTTAGCACTTGATAATGCAAACCCAAGTAATTGTTGTCTTCTGTTGTATGTCATGACCCTCTAGTTATGTACAGCCTGTAATCAGTGTTATAAATAGTGCTTTTAATGAGTTAATTATCATGGACAGCAGAGTACAGAAAAAGTTTAAAATTGTACCTATTTAAAATCAGAATATACAAGACAGAATTGATCAGTCTTGCAGAAAAGCATGTATGTCAGCACAGCATTGTATTTAAATGTATTTCATGTTGAAAATATAAATAAAATTTCCATTTGATGATAAAGGCTAACTTGGAAATTGTTTTAAATATGTTAGTAAGAGGTCATATCTCAAACCAATAAGTAGTAGCTCCATTTTCTTTTGTACTGTGTACCTTGGTTTACTAGACTGCATGTTCTTTTGGGCTGCTGGGAACATGCTGCACACAAAAGGCTAGTTAGTGTTACAAAGTGGGATCAATACAGAAAGAATGGACATCTGTGAGTTGAACACAGGAGAAAGAATATCAGTCTTGTTCTGCTGTTATCTTCCTGTTTGATCTTGGGCAAGTTGCAGAAATCTCACTTTACTTTTGTTTCTGCTGCTGTTTACTGATCTGAGTGCCTCTGGAGAGAGGAGGTTATCATGAGGTTGCAAAGTTCCTTCATATTCTCAGGTGGAAGATAGTATAGAAATGCAAATTTTAGTGTCTAGTTATAAATACCAAGTGTTAAATCATGCTTTGAAAATTAAGTGACACTGGACACAGGGATACTTCTTGTACTGTCTGTTCTCTTTTACTGCACCAGCTTGTTTAAACTAGGGATAATTATTTTAGGATGTATTGCAGTGAGAAAATATACTTTGTTACAATACCTCGAGTAATATTTAATTATATCCTTTCTTCAAAAGAACTTAAATCTCTTTGGTACTACTTATGGAAGAAAATTTCCAATTATTAGCTTGTTTTGATATATTCAGTGCTGAATGCAATGTTAGATCTGTCTTATATTTATATAGAACAGAAAGTTCCTAGCCCAGACATAGTCTTATCAAGGGTATTTTTATTTAATGCAGATAACACATGTAGGTATTGGTGTGTGGTATTTGTAAATCGTTTAAAAATACAAGGAAGGCATTTGAATGAGGTGTCAAAGTTTTCAACTTAACAGGTTCTCTGTGGTGGAGTATAGAGAACATAAATTGACTGTAGTATTCCTAAAAAAAAAAAAAAATAAAACTAAAAACAAGCAGCTTCTAATTTCACTGCAAGTCTTTGAAGGCAGCTGATTACACTTGAACTGAGGGAGACGTTTCAAGGATGAGACTTGTCGCTGACTTCAGTAGCCCTTGGATCAGGCTGTTAGTACATGAGAACGTGCTGGGTGTTTGTGCTGCCCGGAGCAGCAGGGGTTCTGTCTCACAGCACACACCCTCTGCAGCGTGACCCTGCCTTGCCGAGATGGAAGTGCCAAGGTGTACATGAAGTAAACCTGTTCGTTTATGTTTGTGCAAGGAACCAAGGAAAGATAAAAGTGGAAGGCAAATGTAGTCCTATTGCATGTGTTTCAAACTTGTGCTGAAAGTAGCAAGGCTTAGCTTTTGTCTTTTTCTTTACAGTTTGTGTGAGCTGGCATCACTGATGACTTTAACGTATTAATGAAAATGGTTCACAGAGACTGTCTTTATAACTCACATGCAAATCATCTCAATGCCAGCAAGGGCTTAACAACCAGTAGAGAAAATTTTATTTTTTAAAAGTAGTGGAGCAATTCTTAGGGGAAAAAATAGCTTCTTAAATCAAGTATTAAATAAGCTAACTCTTTACTTTAGACTTTGATGATGACCTTCCTGTTCTTGCAGTCTATTCTTTGTCTTTAAGTCATACATAAAAGATAAGACTTAAACTGAATTTAAAAGGGCTTTTACAAACTCATCATGCAAATTTCTTGTTTAAAATGTTATATGCAGATTTGTCCTGCAAGATTTATCTCATTAACTAAGAATTAATTTAGTTATTCAGGAAAGGAAAATATGCTGTAGGAGGAACAGTACTCTAGTCTAAGCAGATGGATTAATTTTATAACAACAATTAAAATCTGTTTTGAAAGTTCTAGAACGGAAAGTGATAGCAAAACTATTTAGTATTTGTTTACAGAGCAAGCACTGTTTTCAAGTACTCTGATGAATTCATACCAACGTGCTTCTGAAATGACAGTGTTTCTCAGAAAAGCCTTGGTGAATTCCTACATCTGTTGTAATTACAGTTCATGTCCCAGAGGCCTTTAGAAGAATTAATTGTTTAGAAGAATTAGTTGTCAAAAGCACATGTGAAATGTCTAAGAATGTTATCAGGCAATGTTCATTACATTTTACTCAATTTGCTTATTTTGTTCATCTCACTGTAATAAAAATGTAGATAAAAGTCTGTATCAAACTTCTTTGGTTTTACTTTTTTATTATTATCTTCTAAAACCTTAATTGAAACTGGTTTTGACCTCTCTTCCTACCCTTTTAGGTGTTGACTTTTATCATCTGATGTACCTGGTCCTTGTTTTGATGTCCAGTGCCTTTCAAGTACTGAAACAAGGTGCCTTCTAACCCTCTTCCAGGTAGACTTCAGATTGCTCCCAGAGTGAGCTAGTAAGGGTCAGTTGTCCAAAATTACCTGTTTGCCAGTCAGACTGGATGTTGAATGTCCCTGTGTATAGCAGCCAGCTCTGAAATGGGGGAAGGTCGATATGACCTCTTTACAGGTAGGTTTGGTATAAAACTGGTACTGCAGTGGAAACATGGTGCTCCATAATTGCTATGCAAGAGCACAGATTCTGAATAGGTTCCTACAGCTCTTCTAAAGTCACCAAAAAGCATGCTGAAACCTACTTGGATGGTCATAAACATTGTCAGAGGAAACAGGAACCGTCAGCAACAAGAAACTTGAAGCAGAATGTGCCTTCTAAGAAAATTCTCTTTTTTTCAAGGCCACCAACTTTGTTACTGAAAGAAATCATCTATACAACAAGCTGCAGTCCCTATGGCAAAGTAAACCCAATATCAGCACAGCAAATGTGGTGTCTTCTTTCTGTTAGCTGGCCTTCAGCTGGCTAATTTATCAGAATAAATAGTTCTGTGATTGTTAGAGTAGCTAAAGGTGACGATAATACAGAGAAATCAGAAAATAAACCAGTTCAGTGCTGAAAAGCAGAAGCCAGAAACCCAGCTTGCTGTGTGTGTGTGTAGTGAAGTACCTAATACCTGTCATGTCAGAAAACACAAATTGGTTGATATTTATGTGGCTGTGTTTACAGGACTTGCAGTCAGTTCCTGTACCTAGTGGTGTTTGTATCAGCATGAATTATCTGAGAGTGAGTTCTTACTGTAGGGCAGGTTTTCACCCATACATTGTACACATATATTTCCCAGTAAAAGGTTGTGAACAGGATGGATTGCAAAGGCCTTACCTTCCTGAAATAAGCTGCCTGGAGATGCAATTTGCTTCTCATAGAGCATTTGTTCAGGCCACATGGCTTACATATGGTGCTGAATGCCCCAAGGCATACAGTTCTCAGCCCCTCTTACTGGCTTCCACAATTATTCCCACTCATATTTACAACTCATCAGTAATTCCTGTCTCAAAATCAGCTGTTCAGTTCCACTCACAGGAGGAAACATTCTTAGTCATTTGAATGTGTGAGCCTATCGAGAAAGATGAGCTAGTTAATATTCAAACCTTGGGCTGACCATGGGTGGTATCAGTGCTGCCTAACAATAAGTGGTTGTTTAGTCTGTTTTGCAGGCATTCTTTTACTGGCTCTGCTCAGGGGATGTAATGCCTGGGAACAAGGGTCAGCTGAGAATAAAGCAGCATAAAGGAGTTTGATTACAAACATCCAGGCAGAGCTGGGATAAATCACTGCCCAGCTGGGACAGCACTCAGTTAAATGCATCCCTTGTATAAAAACATGACGGTAGTAGAATCTTAAGAGCTATCTTAAGAGGATTTCCAGACCTTGAGGACTTAATTAAATCTTCAGTTGTAAGGACTTTCTGACTAAAGGAAGTTTGGTGCTGACACTCAAAGCTGTAACCAGGGGTGGTAGGTTACTGGGGCCATAAGCACTGTGGAGAAAATCCAGTTCAGTGGTGGGTCTTTAATTTCACTCCCCCTTAAGGTGACATACTGTGCACCTGCCTGGTCTTTTAACTCTGCTCTTGGACCAACTGCAAGAGCTGGGTAGACTTGAGAGAAGAATTATGATGCTTGTTTGATAGCAAGGCTGTAAACATGTTTAAAAGGCCAGTTGAAGGCTTAGATTTCAGGAGTACTGTTGTGGACCTTTTTAGTGGTCTCTGTCTGGAGTGGAAGAGGTCCCCTTTATTCTTGTCTAGTAGCACCTGAAATCTTTAAATTTGTCATTCTAGTACAAGATCATTTTCTATGTGTCCAGGACATCTCCAAGAAACGCATTTTTAGCTGAATGTGAGAGGAGTTGGATCCAGTCCTCTCCAAGTGTCATCATCCAGGGATTAAAACAGAGAGAGAAAGCATATATGTGGTCCCTGAGGCAGGATGAGCAAACTAAAGTATTTCTGGGATTAGGGGTTTTCCTTCTGAAGCAATAGCATGGCTGTTGTTTTTTTCAATTGGCATGTTAATGAAAAGTAGGAAAAGGTAATGAAAAAGAAGTAATAGGAAGATGAGAAAGAAATAATAAATTCTTTCAAAATATACCTTTGACAAAATAACATTTGGCTGCTCCTAACATCATCATTTAAAGGGAGAAGAGTATGCACTTTTGAAAGCTGTAAATCTTAATTATGCTCTACAGCTTTGCGACTCTCCTTTAACTTGCCTAACCCCGCTAGTGCGCGGATTTTACAGCAGCCTTTCCTTTGAGAAAGCAAAGAGGCTTTGCATCTATTCCCACCCTCCCTACAGGATGAGAACAGATTGCCTCCAAAGCTGTGCCAAGCTCAGAGAGATGCTGTTCCATAGGCCTCCGTGAGAGGCCTGATGCTGCGTAGAGCTCTGGGAGAAAATCACGTGGCTGCCAGGAACCCGTGCCTGGCGTCACTGCAGTGAGGCCATTAGCTGGTTATGTAAACAGACCATGCCTGCCACTCATTAAATAGCAACAGGGAAAAGCAAGGACATTCATATTTCAGCTGCTGCCAAGGGGATATAACTGTAGAGTACTCTGGGAAAATTACAGCTGGGAAAGAGAAGTTACAGCCTGAAGCACAAATATGTAAGTCACTCAGTGAATGCAGCGCAGGCATTACATGTAAAGAGCGCAGGCTGGATAGTGTTAAATCTTACACAAACTCCCCCCAGCTCTTGCTTTGGTCGTGAGGATTGTTTTCTGGGGCAGTAGAAAACAAAATTAAGTACTTTACCAAAACCTCTGATCAGACAGGCAGCTTTTTAGAACATAAATATTCCCAAATCTTTCAAGGGCCAAAGCAGCAGCTACAGTCTAAATACTTTTTAACGAGATAAAAGGGAGGTTGTATATGAATCCAAGACTCCCTGATGAGTTTGTAATCCTATTGGAATGAAACAAAGCCATCAGTCATCAGCTTTGTGCTGAAATGTCCTTGCTTCTTATGCTGTCCATCAATTCAGCAGTTGATTGTGGATGTTGTATTACAAAAAAGAATAACAAACAAGATACACCTCTGAAAAGAATAGAACGAGCTATTTTTTGCTTATATAATGATCTGTAAATCTCAGTACAGCTTCATAAGTTACAAACACTACCATGTTCACAGGAAAGGCACGAATGCAGTTTAAACCCAGTCCTTTGAAAAGCACTTTTGCACCCTCCTTTCTCACACTTTCCCTAACACAGTGGATCAGGCCTTTGTATTTGTGCTGGTCCGATTCATCTATTTGCATCCGTGATTTGATGACATCCATGGGAGTAGCTAATCCCCAGGCCAGGACTCCAGCAAAGCCCCCAGAAAGCAGCACAACGAGGAAACCTGCAGGAGAGAGTGAACAGAGGAGCAGTTCACTTTGAGTCTCACGTAGCTACAAGCATCTCAGATTTGTCAATGAACTTGAGTAACTTTCATGTTTTTTCAGAAGTTATTTTGTCCAGCTCTTGCATTTGTGTGTTTCCAGTGATCTCACAAAATACTCGTTTTTGCACACATGGCACTTTGAACACCACGCAAACTAGATGTGGTGCAGCCTGAGAGCACTCAGATAGATCTACTTATTTTTATAATTCCTGGAGAGATGCTCTTTGCTGAATGTTGCCTATTCAATCTTTTCTCAAAGAGGATAGTTGCTTTTTGGAGCAAAATCACAACTAAGAACCTGAAATGTCTTTACGTTCTGAAACTGGACTTTATTTTCAAGTCCTGGACTGACCCTTATCTGTGCTCTGTGATGGCTCCCGGGAGACTTGTCCATGTTTCATTTCTAGTTACATATCCTGTTTCTGCATTAACAGGATTCCATATCCACATACGAGGCATCAGAGCATGTTGTAAAAACCCCTCCTGCAGGAGGAGTAGCTGCTCAGGGACAAAGTTGTGCCAGTGTAGCCATCACAGGGAGGCTGCTGGCACCCACACTTGGGGCCCAAAACTAGCCCTGCAGCACCAGAAAACACACACACAGCAACCTTGCTTGAGGATCAGACCTGGGTGAGGTTTACAGATACTGGGTGATGTTTGCCAAGAGCCATTTCCCTCTTAGAGTGGTGTTAAATAAGCCATTTTTGCAGGTAATGCCAGATGCTTTCCGATACCTACCTGGTTTATTTTTCCCAGCTGGTGTGAGCCAGTCACACAGAGCAGAATAGGAAAGGAAATATACTGCAGAAGCAGAGCAATCCCTGCAGAGTAATGCAGAGCAGCCCTTGTAGAGACCCCCAAAACCTTCCTCCTTGGTGATCACCTTCAGACAGTGCAGAGACCCTTGGTACTTTGGTTTGGAAGCAGGCTGAGATGTGACAGAAGGGTGTGGGTTTCTCTGAGTCTGCATCCGAACTTTAGCCACTTCACTGGGGTTTGTCAACACAACCTGTAACATCAGAGGGTGGTGTTTTAACCCTTCTCATTTAAACAGTGTAATATCTCCTTCCCGAAAACTTGTTGTCTCTCAAATTTTCAGGCAGTAATATTGTCTGCAACCTCTAGCAAGTTCCAGCCTCCTCCCCTCTGCCTGTGCCATTCCACCCAGCAGCAGCAGGACACATGTGTGAGCTGCACTGGGCAGAGTGGAAGGCAAGGCAGAAATCAACACTAGATATTAAATACCTGTGACTACTTACTGAACCAGATGGGCACGAAAAGGGTATGTCCTCAGCTATAGGGAAGCATACATCAGGGCTCTTGTTTGTATATGCATTTGAACCAAGACCTTAAAGACTTTAAAAAAATTAGCCTGTGTTGAGTCACTGACTGCTAGAAACACCTGGAAACCTGACCATCTGCTCTGCAAGAGGATTGTGACCCAGCATGCCACCGGGGTGATGGGGTGAGCTCCACCACATTCACAGCACCTTTGGATGCTCACAGAGATCCATCTGCTTGTGGGAAACTGCTCCTGCATTCAGCCTCACCTCCCCGTCCCAGGATCATACACATTTGCCAGGCGCAGCATCAGTTCTCAGTAGTGCCCTGTTGAGTTTTAAGTCCTGGCAAGGCAACATTATGCACTGCCCATTTCAGCAGCAATACCATACTGGGCTTGTGGGGCCACTGGGAAAGGACCAACCTGTGCTTCGACTCAGAGTTCTCTCTTTTCTTACATAAACACACCATCAGAGCCACTTGGGAACTTTACTGCCTAAGTCGTTTTTTCTTCCTTGTTCTGTGTTTGCTGCCAAGGTCCATGTCATTCTAAGAGCATGTTCTCAAGTATTTTGATGCTCTAAACCAAATCCAGCATCAGTTGCCCAGCAGGACTTGGCCATCCCACGGACAAACTAGTGAGGGGGCAGCACGGGCAAAGCATGACCTCCCCTGCGAAAACAAACTCACCAGACTTGTTGCATGTTCCCCTGTGGCCTCCCAGACCAAAAACATTCCCAGCCTTTCCAGCCTCCTGTGTTTGTGAACAAGATCTCTTGTTGTGCTTTCCCTGACGGCTGTTTACCTACCCGGACAGCACCGGCAACAGCTCCAGCAAGGGAAACATCCAGCTTGGATGGCTTTGCATCTGCAGCCCCGTATCGCAGCTTGCAGATTGTACAGAGGAAGTTCTTGTATGTGCCAAAGGAAACAGAAGAAATTGCTGATACGGCAAGGACTGATGCAGACACACCTTTGTAAAATCCCCAAATCTAGTGGGAAACAGGGGAGAAAAAACTTTTAAGAGTGAATGGCACGGAAAAGCATTTTCTTGAAAGCACTGGCTTGTGGGAAACTGCTCCTGGGTCCAGCCTCACCTCCCTGTCCCAGGATCATACACGTTTGCCAGGCAGCATCATTTCCATCTTACAGCTCATCAGCAAAGCTAAATTTCACCCTCTTCCAACAAATGGTTGTGTGCAAATGGTGCCCACCCTCCCCAAACTGACAGAAACAGCTCTGCTTCCCTGAAACAAGTCATCCACAATGGGTATCAGCAATTCAGATGAGAGATACCTACTTTTTCTGTCCTGTATGTTTCTTGAACACAGTGCCAAAACCCTTTGTAATGCTTCTCAGTCTGAATTCTCACCTAGGAATACAGGAGCAACTTTAAAATGCAGATATCAGATTTAAAAAAAAAAAAAGAAAAATCAACAAATGCCATAGCAGCAAACCAGAAATTAATCATAAAAGAGCATCACCAAACAATTTATTTTTTCTTTGAAGGAGACAAACAACACAACCAAATATGGTGAAATATGTAGATGTAATGAAGATAAAGCATTCTCATGGGACTAGTATTCTGGAAAGGAGAGGGAAAGCAAAAGGGCCTACTTGTTTTTGTTCTACAGTCAAGAAATAAAGCTCCAACAGGTACCTTCACTGTGTCCAGCGGATAACCCACGGCTGTGCTTAGGCCACCTGAAACAGAGAATGCGTTGGAGATGGTTACAACACATGTCACGACAGAAAGTTTTCACACATCACAGAAGGGCACTGGTCAACAGCAGAAAACACAGCTTCAGAGTCCTGCCATGCTTGGCACCAAACCTCTCTTAAGCTCCAGTAATGTCGTTTGAGCCAAGAATGACAGAGAGAAACACGCACATTCCTCTGTGTTACCAAGACACACTCAGAGGAGGAATCATAACATCGTGAGAAACTTACCAGGGAGGAATAACACCACAGTGCAAGATGGGACAGCAAGAAACACTGATAGCACTGCTCCAGAAAGACTGAAGGGACGATATTGGACTGGTTTTGTTTCCCCTTTCAGCTTGGGCAGTAAGGCATCTTTGGACTATGACCAAGCACCCTCATGTGCGGTGTAAGCATCCCCACTCACATAAGTGAGTCTCTGGAGCAATTTTGGTTCTCCATGCTTGACTTGGAAATATTAAGGAACAAACACAGCGCTCACAAGGATATATATAAGAGTGGTCCTCATACATTAGAGGTTCTCAGCAATCTATCTTGAAGACAGGAGAGGTGCTCCTGCTGCCTCCAGGGACTAACATGTCCTGGCTGAAGCTTGCAAAGCACATCTACATGGGTGAGGAATTATTGAGGCATTCAGGTCCACAGCACCATGCTGGACTAAGCCTCTGAAGTGCATTTCCTACCTGCACCAAGCACTGCTGCAAAAGCAGGGTAAGGAGCGAAAGCACAGGAATCTTGGAGTCCTGGCAGGCTGGTGTGGTGCTGGGGCACAGCACAACCAGCAGCACTGCTCTGCAGTGAGACCACCCTCCAGCTGCCCCTTGGGGCACAGCAGGATTTGGGGAAAGCGAGGGTGTGCTCAAAGCCAGGGCTCCACAGCCCTCCCCCCACACCAGCTGACTGTGACTCCCCGTCTGCTGCTGTGATGGCATGTCCAGAGTGTGGGGGGAGCTGCCAATCCTCTCTCAATGCCCAGGCTCACTCAAAGACCTTAAAATAGCCACTGGAATTGGAAAAGTAATAATCCTATGAGGCAGTTACTGCCTTAATGTCACATAAGGAGGGCTAAAGAGCTCCAACAAGAATTTCTGTTGGTTGCAGTAACAAACAGATCATCCCCACGCCTGTCCTCACCTCACTGCATTTCCCAGCTCTGATATAAATGGTGGCAGACACAGCAAGTGATAAAGGTGCTGACCAGTTAACTTCCTCCCGGTGCATCTAATGCCAAGTCACCTGAGAGGAAATCGGGTTGGAGGATCATGGAGCTGTATCCATGTGACTTATTTAGACAGAGACTGAGCTCATACAAGTGCTTGATGAGCCCTTCAGGGAGCCAGGCAGTCAGAGGTACAGGGCACATCTGGTGGCTCACAAGTTGGAAACTGCCTCTCATTGAGTGCTTCTTTAAAAAGACTTTAAAACCAAGCTGCTTAAATATGTATTAGTTGCTGTGGGCATGTTCACCTGTGATTACATGGCTGCCTGGGAGCTCTGGAAATCTCTCCTATGTTCTGCAGAAAAGCAGCTGCTGCTACTGTGATTCACCAGGAGACAATCCCAAAGTGCGTTACTCGAAAGAAAACAACCAACAGCATCTCACTCACAGAAAAATGAGGTTTGTTCTTCAAAAATATCTATCAACTCTGATATCAGCTAACCAGAAATGAAGGTGAAAAATGGACCAAGATGGAAGAGATGGAAGGATGGAAGAGAGAGGGCACAGGCAGTATTATGGCTTGAAGAAGCAACACCTTTGGTCCAAGCAGAGTGTGACAATGCACAAAGTCACCTGGGGACACCTGCACTGTCCTGGCCACTGGCCAGAGTAAACATGGACACTGCCAGACAGAGAAGAGCAACATGTAGGTCAATGCCAACATGACAATGCTGACCTCAGAGCTGCAGTCCCCTGTCCGAAGAACCCCATCCCACCTGGGAGGATTTGGCATCACATCGGTTTCAGAATTCCTGAACCTTAGAGGCAGTGGCCATAGGCTGACTGGATGCTAGCAACACGGGGAGGCAGCATGCGCAGCTAAGTCCTGGCTTGCTACACTGGCTCAGGAATGTAGGAGCTCATGCAGATCATGTACCAAGGCTTATTTGGGTCAGTGTTTGACAAGAACTGACCTCCCTTTGGAGAAATTGCCCTGTTCACACATTTAAATGCAAAGACAACAGCGTAGCAGATTACCCCAAAACAGGTTGTATCCCAGGGTTTCTCAGTCCTAAGGGCTCCCAATCAACTTGATTCCAACAAGGACCAAGCATCTCCACTTGGGAGGGGGACATAAAGGTAAATTTTTCACTGCTCCCACCAGAGATGTGAATCCCTGAAACCTCCAAATAAACACAGTCTACCATGAACTGCACTCCTTAGGAGCCAAAACACTCCAAGCAGTTGTTAGAGCTGAAGAGCTCAGCCAAGTCTGTCAAAGGCCAAAGAAGAAGGGTACACTGTCACACAATATAAATAGCCTGGGACTAAGATAGCATGACCCACACATGCCCTGTTTGCACAGCAGAATCTAAGAAGGCCAGCAATGTATAGCATGCATACAGGAGAGGATTCCTGTGGGACTTCTGCTGAGTAACACTGCATCAGTTGTGACAAAAATAAATAGCAAAACCAGCTGAATGACCTTTTTTGATTTTAGTGAGTCGTTCTTTATGCCTACTTTGTCTGAGATGTTCCCAGGTATTGTGCAGAGGTTGTGACATCGCCTCCTACACACACACACAGAGTGCGGGTACAAAAGGGATTACTCACAGTCTCTTCACAAGTCAGGCCGCCTGAGGCAGCCTGAGGATGGATCATTACACGGAATTTGAATGGGCAGCACCTCTGCTGTTTTTCAGAGGTACTTAAGCCATGTTTTCTCCAAAACACTCTGAAAACAGATCAAGGTTACAAGAATGTAATTTACTAAACAGAAATTCTCTTATTTTCTATATTGCCTCTTGAGTTACTTGATGCTCCTCAGCTGGGTTTGCAGCCTCCTTAAGAACACAAAAACTGCTTCAGCTCCAACAAACATAAATCAAGAAACAAGTTCAGCACCAAAATCCATGTAGTTCTTGCAGAAAAGCTGTCCCATCCTGGAAGCTGTCCCATGTAAGGATAAGGATGTTGGCCCTGAAGCCCTACCCAGGTACCTTGCACATGTCTATGTGCAAGCCTCCAGCAGGGAACAGCCTGCCAGAACACACCTCTCTCAGCCAGTGAGAAGTTGCATTATCCCTTCTAGATAAAGCCCTGAGATGATCATAGATTACAGGATGGAAAATCTTGCTCTCTGTCACTGTGAGGTCAGTAAAGTGCCTTGAAACAAGCAAAGACTTTTATGATCTGAGCTGGATCCAGGCTGAGCCTGTATCCAGGGCACCCATGGGAGATCCCTGCTTCATGGTCAGACAGTTCACAATGCTGGTGCCTGGACAGGGGGTTACAACACAAACCACGGCTTTTCATGGGAGCTGGGGCAGAATGCTGAGGTGAACAGTCATGTTGAAACTGTGTTTTCAGCTCTTCATTTCTCTCGCAGAAGAAGTTTGTCCTTAAGTGGCCTATCTCAAACTGTGCCAAAAAAGCAAAGGAGTCCAAGCAACAAATGCAATCATCTCTGCCCTACCATGAACATGAAGTCTTAGAGGAGGTTTGGTGAATCCAATGGGATGGACATCCCATTGCCAGCCCCAGAACAGGGCTCCCTTCTCTACAGGAGAGAAAGAGGAGGACAAAAACAAGCTGTCATGGAGGGTTGGTTATACCCTCCTCTCCCATGAAGGGTCTTTTCCAAGCAGGGTCTCTCAACACCCCAGGAAGACCAACACTGCAAGAAACAGGCACCTCCTGGTCCAGACAGATGCTGCTGAGATGCCAAACCTCACCGCACTTGCACATTTTTCATGATGAGCAATTAAAAGGTGCAGGGTAAAACTCATCATGGCCCTCCCCAGGACAAGCACATCTGCAGTGGTGCCACAGGGTACTCTTGGTAAGGGAAAATGCCAAATTTCAGCAAATTTCAAAGTGAGATCTGATGTGCAGGCTTGGGCTGGATATCTCAGCCACCTGGCAGGTTTACCCAGCCTTTCTGTCAGTGGTGACCCCAAGGCTTTTCTCTTGCTATTTATTGGTATATATTATCTTGGATACTCCACTAAATCTTATAAGATTTCAGCAAAGAAATGAGACTGATGGGTATACTTTGTTGTTTAAAAAAAAGCTGGGTTTGAGCAGTACATGATCTAAAAACGTCTCAAATTTAATCACACTTCTCTCGTGTTACTTTTTTTATATACAGCTAACCTACTTTCTCCCAGATCAGAGCCTGCTGTAGCACGCCTGCGCTATCACCCTCACAACTGCAAATACATCTTAACCTCAGACAATGCAAAGGTCATTCATTCAGACATTCTTCACTGCAACACCACCATGCTTCCTCCCCTCCTGTCTCACAAATCACATCCTCAGCCCCCCAGAGCCACGATTCCAGCAGGTTGCTGGGACCCCCAGACACCAGGCACGTGAGGGTTTGCTGTCCGGGCAGTATGAGCTGGTTTGTATCAGCACACAAGGTATTACAGTCTGTCTCTTCCTATTAGAGTTCTACCGTGTGTCGCTGCAATCAGATCAGAGGAGATTGCAAGCAGTGACCTGAGATGACCAAGCTGCGTCACTGCCTCTCCAACAGTTCTGTGAACCTGTTCCGATGACATTTTCCATTTAACAAGGAAGAATACACTGTTAGCAAGCAGCCCCCATTGAAAGACTCTCAGCTCTGCTATTGAGACTTTGCCCTTTAGCTGAACAAGAGGGAAACAGAGCAGTCTGCTTTCATCAACAACCACTAATTTATGTATTTACCTCCAATGGCCCCAGCAATGAAATCCATCCAGAGTGCGTCTGCTGCCTTAATCACCCTGAAGTAGTGTTAGGGAGGTAGAAGGAAGGAGTTCTGTCTTCCTAGAGCCCTGCAGGTCCTGCGGAGACAGTGCGATTTGCAATATGAATAACCTTCCTACAGTCTTCTCTTGCCTCTGGGGATTGTGAGCCTTGTGGATACTTGATGAATCTGTACACTGGAGGCAGAGCCGGGTAGCCTGGAACTGATCCAGGAACATAGTGAATAAGTAATCCCATGAAGCCCTGAAATGCTGTGCCAAAGCTGCTGTTCCCAGTGCCCTTCTGCTTGGAAAGTCACGAGGGGTGGTGACTGGCAGGGTAATACTGGCTGTGAAGGGGCCATTCCCCGCTGTACTTATTAGCTCCAGAAGACAGCTTTGCACACTTGTTTGCCACAGGACACTCTTGCCCTGCACCACAGAGAATTTCATGACACCCTTTCCATCAATGAAAATTCCTTGTGCCTTTCCTAAGCTATTTTTCTTGACTTTCCTAACCCACGAAGCTGACCCCAAACCTCTACCCAGATCCTCATGGATTATTACCTGCTCATTATGTACACATGTGGTGAAGCCCAGAAATTAATCCAACCACATCCAGAGTATTTGCTTCTATTTCAGACAACAGCATAGTTTTCCCAGCACCTGCAGCAGCTCTGCTTCTTCACTTTCTGCTCAGTTTTTCAATCCCCTTTCCAATCCCATCTCCTTTCTGACTTCAGTGGCAGAGCAGGAATCACAATTGCTGCTGACCACACTCCAGTGTTTTGCCCTGATAGGGTGATGCCTCTAGTAGCACAATACGAATGCCCCCAGCCATGCCTCTCAATCATGGGCCTATTTCTGAAAACCAACAAAATAGAACCGGAGTCCTACTCCATTATTCCTACCTGCACTATGCCAGCAGCCGGCCTGCTTTGAACACTCTAATTTTCTCGAAGTAGATGCTTCAGGCCTCGTGGGACACTCAGCTAAGAACATCAAGGGGGCTCCGAGAAGCAGGGGCTGGAACAGACTCGTCCCACGACAGACCGCCTGACCCACGCTCAACTGCTGTTCGCACGGAACTCTGCTCCACTTCAGCCTTCAAAGCTCTCCTTTCAATATTTGCTAATACCACCAAGATCTACACCTGCGTCAGTCCCACCCGGGCTCACACCCCAGACTTGGAGGTGCACTGCAGGGGCCCTTCTGTGCATGGCGGCCTGGGCCCCCCGGGCTTCACACTACCAGTGATGGTCGGGTGCGGGCCTGACGCTCCAGCACCATCCATTTCCAGGGCTAGTTGATTCGGCAGGTGAGTTGTTACACACTCCTTAGCAGATTCCAACTTCCATGGCCAGGGTCCTGCTCGGCCTTGGGAGCAAACGTGTTCTCAGCTGGTGGTTCAGCTGTCTTTGTCTCTTTGCCATCTTGTGGTATAGGGTTCTCTGGGCTTCTGCATCGGCAGCTGAAATTATGGTGGTACCGACATTGAGGTGGTTGCTGACTTCAGGTCTCATCCCCTTGGTTCTCTTCACCTTCTTCATTCTCTCTAGGTTGTCTTTGATGAAGAGGACCCCTGCGAAATCATGGTCTGTAACCCCTGTACATGTTCTGCCTGACTGGTCTGCCATCTCGTGCACCCTGGTTGTCAGCACCCTCCACTATCTCTCCCTGTATGAGAGGGTTGGAATATCGTGGATGATGCCGCTAGGGCCTATGCATATAGTAAGGTGGATACCACCGCCTGCTAGGGACAGCGCTGCTGGGGAGATGTGAGATGAATTTTGCCAGGAGACTAGTCCAGAACCTGTTGTTTCCTTCACAATTTGCCCCCAGGGTAGGGTGGTGAAGTCATCAGGGGAAAGAGGAAAGCACAGAGAATGACCTGCTGGTCGACGGGAACCAAGAGCTCAAGGAAATGCCATATTGCCTATTTTTGCACAACAGTCTTGTTACCAGAGAGTGTCACATCTATGTGTGAGAGGTTAATCTTTGCCCAGAGAGAACCTGGAAACCAAAGTCCTGATGCAGTGAAGGGCTTGCCAAGTCGTGACCTGAATTGTGCTCCCCTTAAAGAGGTTTCCCTGGGTCAGAGCCAAGGCACGTCGGCAGCAAAGGGAAAAGAAAATTTCATGGCTGTTGCCCCTCTGGGATCAGCTTTACAGGGGAGCTGAGGACTTCAGTACCCAGTGCTGTTTCCTGCACATTTCACAAGAACCTATTTCTCACTGAAGTTCCTGTTTTGGGTCTGATGTGCCAGTGACACATAGCAGAGGTTGGTGTGAGGGCTCAAAGTTTCTGGGAACTGAAAATGAAAGGATTTTTATTAAATTGCTCCCGCTTAATTTCCTATGCTTTGTTCCCTGAATGTTTTCTGCACTGGAGAGAACAGATTATTCCAGTGTAACATCCTGCAAGGACAGCAAATACTTGAAACCAGAAGTAAAATATTATCTAGAGAGTTAGCAATGTAGCGGTTAGAACACACTGGGTTATTCAGTAGCTCTTCCTTGTTACACCTGGTGTCCATGGGGGAGTTATTAATGGTTCATCAACAGTCTGCATATGCCAAATGCAGAGAAAGGTGCTATTTCCTCTTTTCCCATCATCCATTTCTGCTTCTGTCCTTGCAGAACCCCTCCAGCAGTGGAGCTAGGAGTGGGCTCTGGTGTGTTGGTGACACACAGGGACAAGGACACAGTCCTCTGTGGAAGGGCAGCCCTGGAGCCTACAGACTCCCGATTCCTGCAGGGATCAGTCAATCTGCTGACCTGCTTCAGCCCAAGCTGCTGCAGCCATAGCTACCTTCAGAGTCACTGTTGGGACACCACTGTTCAATATTGTTCTTCTGGGAACAGCTTCCAGGCAAAGTGACAAGATTCACTACATTCTCGAAATGAAAAGTCACACCATGGATGAGGGTGTCATGTGGGGGGAAAATTTTCTACATGTTGAAGTGACTGCTGCCATATCAAGAAAATAGAGGCTGGCTGTCATGTCACACTGGCTGACTAAAGCATCAGGGCTAGTAAGTATTTCCCATGAAATATCACAAAATAAACAAAATTCCTACCTTTTTTAGCTGAGCTGAACAGCTCAAAGGGAATCTTCTTCATGAAATCTTCTGAGATTGTAAAAAAAACCAAAACAACCAACCCAAACCTCCCCTTTGCAACAGAAAAGTAATCCTGTATTTATTATTTTAACCTCCATTCACAATAACACTTTTATCAAAATGTTAGTTTGCTTTATACAGCAGAAGACTGACTCCAGATTCAGACATTTTGATAACCTTCTGATAATGGTTTTGGTCCTTTCAATGAGGTATACTGGGCTTTCTATTTTGCTGGAGTTCCTTTGCAAACAGAGGTCATTCAGAAGGCATCTATCTGAAAGAAGAATCTTTTTGGGGCTTGAAACATTTCACCTTGTCCCATGAAGGTATCAGTGGGACAGCCATCTCTGGAGAAATTCACACTACTACTTTAGGGACTTCTGCCCCAAAAGGGGCTTAGCAGAGTAACGTGGGCCCCAGGCAACACAGTCGCCACTGTGGTGGTCTCTGGTTCTTTGCTTCTGATGTCTGATCAGGACTTAGGGGAAAATAGGATCCACTGCCACACTCATCCCAGCCATCATGTGATGGCAGCAAGGCAAGAGCCTTCTGGAGGAGAGCCCCACACAAGTTCAAGTGTTCACACAAGAGCATGTACTGAGGAAAGTATAATTCTGCATGAAGGAAACCCTATGTGAGAAATGAAGCCTGTGGTACTGTGTTTGCTATTACTTGCTAGCACACTCCAGACAGCACAGACCAACTCCATGCTGAAGAGAGTGACACTCAAGGCAGCAATTCAGCCTCCCTTACCAGGAGTCCTCCCAGAGACATGGAGTCATTTAGGTCTCATTTTTCTTCACATTTTGTTGAAGGAGCTTTCTCCTTCATCCCCTCTTCACTAGTTTTCAGAGATATACCATTAACTTACCAGAACCCAGCCCCACAATGCTACAGGTCAATAGAAACAGTAAAAAATCCATCTCAAAGAACTCCTGAGTTATCAGGAAGATTTTGATGAAATGTGAGTCATTCCTGTTACCCTTTGACACAATGTCCAAGGACTGCAGATCCAGAGATTGCTGCTAGTCCAGCTTGCAAATAAACACCATCTATGCACAGCTGAGAGAAAGTGCCTGGTCCCAACCCAGGTGGTCTTCTCAAAGCATGCCCTAGGAAACAACTCAGAAAATGCATGCTTTGAGCCTCGACAGGGATAGCATTCCACAGAAAATAACTCACAAGTCCTTTTCTCCAATAGTAAACTGTTTAAGAGTGATTTGTTCAAAATGAGTGAACTTCATGGGTGATTTTGAGAAAGTAGAGCATGGAAGATGCTGTCAGAGAAAAAGACAGATCTGGCTATATGAAACAATCTGCAGGAAATCATGACACTGAGTGATAAAAATTGAGGAAGGCCGTAATTTTACACAGTGTGTGATGGATGAAACACTCCATTTGTTCCACAGGAGGAGGCAGCTGTCTGCCCACCCAGGCAGAGAGGACTGCTCCATAGCAAAGTGGCAGTGGGTCCAGAGGACTGGTAAAAGTGATGGAGTAAAAGGAAAGGTGGAGAGGGAGACTTTAGGTAGGTAGTCAGTGCTAAATAGCATCATTTAGATGAGACAAAACAGTGGGGGTATCCCTTTACCCCTCTTCTTCCACAGCTCATTCCCAGGACATTACCAACTCCATCCATCCTGAAAAGCAAAAGAGAAGCTTGTCCTCTTTTGACTCTGCAACCACCTGCTGGCTCGCCATTCCAGATTTGCTGAGAAAACAATCCTTCCTCATTTCCTCCCATAACATGCTGCATTTTCTATCCCACTAGCACTAGGCTATATCACACTCACATGCATAACCATTAATTTCTATTCAACTTATTTTGGAAAAATCCTTGACTGAAGAGACCGTTCAAACGGTCACTATGCCACCAGGCTGTTTGCACATTGCAGAACAGCAAAGAGTGACACCAGCAATGCTGAGCTGGCACAGTCCAGCACTTGGCTTGTGTGGCAGGGGGTGGAAGTGGGGGTGGAGCCTCCTGGCTCCAGCTGTGTTTTGGATTTTCAAATCAAAGCAGCTCATTGTCCTTTTTCTCAGGTACTAACCAAAAACT